CGATCCTTTAATTTTATTCAGCTGTCGGGTTTTAGGCACAACTGACCTGCCTTACGAAAGAATTCTCTCGTAGATCAAGAAGTTCGCTATGAGTATTCCACTCGGAATCTCACCACCCTATGTTATCTTTCACCATACCTTCGAATTCATGAAATTTTTCCTTTCAATCTTGTACGCTGCTCGACGAGCTAACACATTCAACAAGTGTAGAATAAACCTTGTTTCGACCCCAACACTACGGCGAGGAACTACTCTAATCATTAGAGCGCAATAACCCACCGGTCACTTTGACCTAAGGAGGTATTGGGTTATGGCCTACATCCACGTATTACCAAAAGATCACGTCTAATTACGGCTAGACTGCCATCCTACAACTACTATTCTACAACGGTCACTGGCGCAGAGATCAAACTTCCGTGCCTTGGTTAGTGAGTTGGGTGAGAGACAAAACCCAAAAGGGGAGCCTTCGCTCCGTTTTTTGTTCTGATACTTTTGATAGTAAAATCTATCATGATCACGACCGACTGCGAGAGGTCCATGAGGTTAATCTGCACTCGAAAGACAGATGGATAAGTCACAAACTCTTTGTTTTCCGCGCTGTCGTTCTCATGATCTTCGGATTTACAGATGATGACTTAGGCATAATTTACTAATTTTGTGCTGACAACATTTTGAGGGATATTCAACTACGCTTTGTTGCCAGGGTCCAAAATTATTTGTTGTGCACTGGTTCCATGTTTATCCAATTTTACTCAAACATGAGGTCCCGAAGGTCGCGAAGCCGAAATGCACACAACATGCAGGCGACATGAAGAAATGTGGGACATCCTCTTTTAAAAAAGAGCAGAACAGTCTCAGGCTCCCCATTTATCTTTACCTTTCTTGGAAGCTTACAATAAGCAATCGCGATAGTTTTGAATCGCGCACACCACTCTAATGTCACTCACTCGATAAGGTACCCCGCACCGACGCGGCGTAATTCATCCACACAAAAAGCAATGCAATATTCCTGTTGCGGTGGTTACTGCAATGTTTCAAGATATCAGGTCTTGCTGCTATTCATCCCGGAATTTTTCGACTCAAATTCTTTACGCAATTTTTATTTCTGGTTATTTGTGTCTTGTCCTAAAATGAGAGAGCGAGAGTTCAGTGCATAGTAACAAATTATGTGTGTACAATATCATGTGCCACGGAAATTATCCGTTGCAACTTTCCGCCTTTGGACATTCTTTTAAAACGCCACCAGCGGCGCCACATTCTAAAGAAATACATTCACTAAAGGGCGGTGCCCCTTTGAAAGCGGATCCACAGACGGCGGACGGTTCATGTCGTTAGCCACCCCCGTCAACCACGGTGGCCGATCTGTGAAGCGCAGTCTTAGGTGAAGCACTAAATGATCACCCTTGAAATGGAGTTGTGAATGTTCAATGCAAGTCCCTGACATTAAAAAATGTAATATCGGTATCCTCACTGAATGGTGACATCAAACATGGTGTTTCCTTTTCGGCGGAGCCTTAATACACCCACAAGAATTAATCGAATTCGTGCTCCGTCGTCTGTCGGTCACCATAATAAATGAAGGGTAGAAATTAATTACTGTCGTCATACCCCACTGTACTACGTAGGATGGGAAGACCGCTGAGAAGTTCGCTGATTATTTGCGTTTTAGGCCAACAGGGACCAGTATATATCAGGTTTTCAAAAATATTTCAAGGAGACCGCCAATTAACTAATGCCTGCGGTTTCCTGTTACACCTGTTTAGCTTCTATGACGGACAAGATAATTGGACAGACATAAGATGTCAGAAGATGAAGCTACTGCAGTATGTAGGGTGCTTTTGGCTTTCTGGCTCTATGTAGCAATCATAATGGCTTGAAGGTATCCAGTTTTGGGGTAGTGCGAACGAAGCCTTTTTATTGTCAGTAAAATCGAGGGACGCATGTACATGATAAATTTGTAATATTCCTCAGAAGAAATGATGGTTGTGGTTAGGACATTCACGCAGACAACATTACCCAGGAAGGAGCACGCTGGCGTGGGATTCAGGAGGTAGTACACACGCTGTTGGGTTTCACTTAGCATTCCCCATCACATTCTAACTATTAATCAGACGGTAAATGCATGAAGATTACTGTTCCAAAGAAGGATAGACGAAACGGCGATACGGGAAAATAAAGTTGCCTTTGTCTGTGAGAGGACACACTCGGTAAATTGATGTGACCGGACAGCCACCTCTCCTGAGTAAGAAAAGACTGATCAAGAGGAAAGATTGAGTTTCCTCGAGACGCCTTGATCTTTCTGTCGATAAACGGTGGGTGAGATTTTAAGTCCTGATGGGTGAGATATTGTGAAAGCTTAGTATGACATACGTGTGGCTCTCTGAGAGTCGAGCGGAGGATTTCTTTCTGAGAGACTTGGGTACATCACCTAGGCTTGCGAGATTCCAACAAAGAGAGGATTCTATAGGGCTTCACCTTACATCCATTAGCGACCCAGATAATGGCTTAAGTTTGGTTAGATAGGAGCAACGCGTTTTTTGGAATAGGAGAAGAAACCAGATGTGACGGTTTGCCGCTTGGATCTACTCATTGCTTGATATGATCGGTTTGGCACGACAGATGACAGCAGAGGCATGCACACAACCAAGGTATTGACAAAAGAGCATGGGGACTAGGTACGTAAGGGTTGAAGAGATCATGAGATGTGCCGCTGAATAATCGCGATCTTGAGCAGTGGCTTTGGATGACCAGCAGGTGCAGATATTAGATATCCTCCATGAGTAGTCGGAAGGTGGCGAACGGGTTGCGCCTTATTTGTGAGACCGTGGAACGAATTAGAATGGCACAGGTAAGCAAGACGGAGGAAAAGGAGCTCCACAAATGTGAGCATCAGAACTTATGCCTGTAAATGAGAGGGTACGAGGTGAAGGACGGAGTTAATAATGGTTTAATGGAGAGGCAAAAGCGAGGTGCTCATTCGTCAGTTGAGTTAAGTGATATTTCAACTGGATGCCGGCGTAGGAAGCAAGGGATTAACTCAGACAGTCATCAGGATGAGTAGCTGGATGGCTGCTTTGAGATTACGTGAGAACAGCCAAAGTTTTTGGGTTCCGTACACGACCCTTTTACAGCCCGAGGATTAGTCCTCTGCAGCTGTTACTGAGCGAGAAACAGCGGGGTTTAACTTTATGACTTATTCCGGATTGTGCGACGGAAATTGCCAGGGGATCCCTTCAAGCAGGGATGTACCCGGTTTATAGGTTGACTGTGCACGAACACCAAGAGTTTAGAGGTCGAAACAGTCTTACCGATTGGGGCTGGACGCACGATGAGCTTCTGGAAAATGTTGTTGGGATCGGAGCAACCTGGGCGTTTTGATTGGCATCGAACGGAGAAGCACGGGAGGATCAAAGGAAGTAAAGTTCAGGTATGAAGCTCCGGCAGAGGATGTAGGCATCCGGACAATCATTTGTGCAACAGCTTCCTTGGAAGATCATCTCAAGTGTTTCATCTCACGAAGAAATGGAAACCGGGGAGTGTGTAATTCTGCTGTGTGACGCGGCGGGCCGGCTGACAAGGTTGTACCCTGTGGCAGAGGTGGGGGTGATTGACAATATACGGTTACTGAATTGGGCTTTTCTGAATAGTGAGAGGTGTGATTGTACTTCCGTGTCTGTGGAGATGGGTTTGGTCGACGTCTGTCTTACCTTTTCTACAGTGACGCACTCGACGCAGGTGGTCTCCGGGATCTATAGGAACGTTCCATCGGAAAGGAAAATTACATCCAAGCGGATAGTTAGACAACCGATGTGACCCTAAAAATGGTAGATTGGCAACCAGGACCTCTTTGGAGTGAAAACAGTTCGGGAGAGTTCAGACATGAAAGCGTTGAACATTCGAACATGGCGTCGTTAGTGTCGTATCATATCGATTTTCTTAAGCCTACGATACGGTTGCCCACTCAGACGTGTGCAGCGGCTAAGCACTAGCAACATTACGTGTGCCAAGCTTATTTGAACATAATGTGCTGGGTGCTATACTTCCTTAGTTTGAGATAGCTGAAGGGATTGCTGGTGCCCTGTGAATCAAACCAGGTCAGCCGGGGCCAACTCAGAGACTATGAAGTTTCCTCATTTGTCAGTCAGTGACCAGCGGACTAGCTTTGGAAGGGTAACCTCCTGAAATAAGCATGTGGGTCTTTAGCTTCCCATACACGCACCCATCAACTTGTCTCCAAAAGAGAGAATAAAATACGGCAAATTGTTTTATTATTCCACTTACTCTTATAACGTGAACTTTGGACCTACCCGAATTTTCGGATCTGTTGACCGTGCGAATCTCATGCCACTAGCACCATTAATTGAACCGTTTCCTGAAAAGGGTGATGAGAAGTGTGCAAAAGTAATTATGCCAATAAAATGTAACCTATTTTCATAGTGTATATCGATAGACGATGTGTGCGATGATGGCGTTCCAAAGGTAACTCTCTTGGAATTATAGACGTCCATCTCTAAGGAGGAGGATCAGCACACGGAAATAAGTGTCGAAACATTAGCTCAGACAGCAGAGAAAGCTGGGCGGGAAGATTTCGAGTTGTTGCGTGTCCTTGGCCAGGGTTCTTTTGGAAAAGTAAACATATTTCATCATCTGCTAACAAAATTTTAGGTTTTCCTCGTTAGGAAAAACACAGGAAGAGATAAAGGAACTTTGTATGCTATGAAAGTTTTGAAGAAAGCAGTTTTGAAAGGTAACACCCATAGGTTCCCGTTGGATTACAGCCAGTGAGGGATAGAGTTCGGACAAAAATGGAAAGAGATATTTTGACCCAAATACGGCATCCATTCATTGTCAATCTTCTATATGGTAGGCCGGTGCTATCAACTCTTGTCTTAGCCAGACAAAAGCCTTTCAAACAGAAGGGAAGGTCTACCTTATCCTGGAATTTCTGAGGGGTGGTGATCTTTTCTCTCGCCTGTCTAAAGAAGTAAGTTGCTTTACAGAGAAACCTCACAGGCAAAGTACATGTTTACGGAGGAAGATGTGAAGTTTTACCTGGCCGAACTGGCCCTTGCTTTGGATTATTTACATAGACATGGAATAGTTTATCGTGATCTCAAACCTGAAAAGTGAGTGCAATAATTACAGAAGATATTCCTAATTTGTCAAAACATGTTATTTACCGGCCCATTTTGTGTATGTAGCTGCTGCAGGTACATGACGCATAGATTCTCCGACTTTGAAAATTAGTAGATACCTAGGGAAATGACGAGAAGAACATGTGAACCTTGTTTTGTTTTAGCGGATTATGTTCCCTAGCTTAGCTACAAGCGAAGGCATAACCAATTGGTGATGACGGAATCTTACCTCTCCCTTTGTTTCATCAATGAAGTGGTTTTCACAAGTGCTTTGGCTTCATCTTGATAAGAAACACAGCATTTATTTCAGGCCCGCATGGCACGCAACTGTTTTTAGTTGTGCAGATGCTGAAATTTTCTAGTGGAACTGTTTAGTTAAAGTCCCCCTGTCGTTGTACTGCGCAATAATACCGATTGTGGTTCACAAGGTGCGCTCAATCCACCTAAGTGGCGGTATTCCTATTTGATGTGATACTTACATGTTTGTATGTTTGTTTTGATGCCACTCAAAAGCATTAGCGAAGTGTTCTTGAGCGCCTTCCTCAGTGTCATTAAGAGTAACCGCAACAAGTCCCTTCACTTTCCTTCTCTTTCCCCTCACCAGGAAATTCTTCCCCTTTGATTGCGTGGCGGCTGAGCACCGGTACTTATTACTGGTTTACTTCTATAACTGACGATGTTGGCCTGTGAGAACACTCTAGAGCAAGCAAAATAAGCTGTGAATATCGCTGAAGTTATGCAGCGTGGCCTAAGGGTCATGCGCGCGCAATAGTGCGAACACGCCTTACTAAGTTTTGTTCCTCCCTCTAAGGGAAAGGTAGGCCGGTTTCCCGTAGCCTAGCAGCTGCTTGATGAGCATCAAATGAGCTCTAAATACTAAAAACAAGCTGAGTAAAATCACCGACATTTGCAATGCCATAGCTCTGTCTATTTTTTTCAGTTTTACGTTGATTTGTCGCTAACGTCAAACGTTTCAGAGCGATCATTTTCTGCGTTCTGCATTCCAGTAACATTAACAAAAATGCCCAAAATTTACAGTTCAGTAGAGTACTGCCAGATGCTTCATAGATAGAAAAATTTGGAGTCCCATGAAACCTGCAATAATGCGCTGATTCATGCTCAAGACAACCTTCCCTTTTTCTAAAAGTAACGTGAGATTAAGAGTGCATAAACTGGTGTTTTTAGACAAAATTTTGTATTTCCGTAGACATGAAAGTGTTATTTGCAGCAACAATTCTTCTACCTTTTCCTCTAACACTAAAGTCTGGCTGAGACGTTTCATTTAACAGAACCACAGTGATATGATGATAAAGAAAGCGTTTTAATTTAATTAAGTTATTTCAATTTTTGAGCAAACTGCAGGAGAACAGTTGAAACTTTCAGAACCAGTTTGTTTCAAATGAGCAATTGAAATGGTTGAACTCGAAGTTCTACTGAGCCGAGTTGGGATTTTAAATTTTGTTGCGTGTTGGGCAGTTAAATGTTACCATCTTATTTATAATGATGTCCATCCTAGAAAGATTCGCTAACTTTAGTAACTTGGTGGCTTGATTTCACTCGGGAGAGTACGTTTTATCTCGTGTTGTATGTCATATACTGAAGTTCGTACAAGGTTAGATGGTTCGCCACCGAATGTCATTGACTTTATGTGATAAGTCAGTGTTTAGACTTAAAAATCTTTTCTGTCCTTGAAGCATTAACTATTTATTCTCGTCGCACAAAAAGCCAAAGGACGATACCATCATCTTCCACTGTGTTTTTCTAGTAAGGAAAGAGGGAGTAAACATGACCCATTAAGGTCAGCGTTTTGCCTACTCGGTTTGCAGGTAATCTTACAAATCTTCATAACGCGCTTGTTTTATGTGTGATTTCTAATCTGCAGCAGCTTAGTGCTAAACAAAAAAGCCGATGATTTTACTTATTTCACAACCATTGTCACTGCGTTAAACTTCAACCAACTCTGAAAATACAAATTATGGAGTCCTCATGATTTTGATCCGCATGTTAAATCATGTTGTTTATTTAATGAAATAATACTGCTGAATTCCATAAGACTCGGTATTGAGTGATCCGTGGCTCAACCCACAGGACTGTGGACCTGTCGTGAGGTTACTTTACATAGGCTAAAAATCTAGGATGGTCAAGGTGGTTTGAGTTGGAATTTCCATTTACTTCTGCTACTAAAACAGGTTTTTAATAAAACCCAAACTCGCTAGTATCGACACACAGTCTACTATATACTTATGTATAGGATTAGAGTATGATCGGTTAATTTTATTTTTAATAAAATAAGGAACTCGTTGCCAAATCACTGAATTGGTGGGTGTAATATGACTCTGCGTTTAAAAATAATAAATTAATGGATAATCAGTGAGGACCTACAACAAGCTTAATATGAGTACCAAATTGTCAGAGAACTTTATCAGGAATTTTATAGTTCAATAACTTGAAGTTGCGGTGATATTCATTTCATTCTTGTACTCCTATTCTAAGGCGATTGTTTTGGTGATAGGGATATAAATAATACATATTCTGCAAAATTCACAACAGATATAAAAAGCTTTAAGTGTGACTGAAGAAAAACGCTTGTTTTAAGCGATTGTTAATCAAAGAAACGCATCGCAAGGCACACCCATTTTGTATACTTTTAAAAGTTGACGGTTCTATCATACGGACGTCGGCTGTTCAAACTGACTGTCTATCAGGTGATCAGATTGAACAAACAGTTTTGGTAGAATAGTAGTATTCGGTAGAACACTGCAAATGTTATTTTTAATTCAAAAGTCCCGTGCGTTCAAATGGATTTCATATGTTTTACCTAATTTATACCGACAAGTTCAGTGGGCTTTGTAAACTCACGCTTGTTTTTGAAACACACAAGTATTGCCTTACGGATTCTGTAGAAACCATAGTGTCATGTATTTTTTTACAAAAACAAACTGAGGATTTTTAAACTTGTGAATGATACTAAAGGACGTTTTTGGAAACGTTTGCAACCAAGTAATCACCTACAAACTTATTTTGTCCAGGTGTGTCTTAAGTAGTATCCGCGAGGCTCATAATAGAAATTTTGATTTGACGATAGAGCTAAGAAATAAAAGTTGTTTTGCTAATTAATCCCTACCTCTAGGTCAGTACCATCGTTCACTTGAAGTCTAAGTGATTAAACACGAAACTCAGTTAGTTGGCAAAATATGCCAAAATGTCGGTTTCGGAACAACAAAAGGGTGATTTGGGACCCTCAGTTCGTGTAAATCTGTTGTTGTTAGAGTATTTGCCCACACAAATTATTTTATTGAAAAATTAATCACGCAATCCTGCTGTAACCGATCCCTATTCGGGAGATGTGCGCTTCTGCAGTTGGCATTTTTGCGTATTTTGTATGACCAAGATCACACTTTCGGATTGCACATGATACTGTGTTAACCCGCATCACTGCCAGTTCATATATTTGATGATAACCGTTCATCTGTCCGTAGCCTAACATAACTTGCCATCAAACACTCCTATTGGATGGACAATGATGTAAAACAAGCTAAAATCATATACGTTTGGTATAGGCAGATGCAAAATTCTGTACTAATCAATAAAAGTTGTTCATTATGAAACTAGCAGAAAGTTTCAAGTGAATACATCTTTCTTTTTTAACTCAATGAATTGTACATTCTGGCTATTGCTTTACTCAGTTGCAATTTAGCATCTACCTATCAACACGCCATGAAGTTTTGGAAAAACCAACTTCATAAAATGCAAACAAGCAATCTTTTAAGACATTTTCTATTGGTTTCTCTGTTGAAATGCGCCGTTATGGCATAATAAAGTACTCTAGTTAAATGGGAAGCAGACTGCCTCTTGCAGCTCATAGGATCAAGGCGCGACTGGAAGGTTCGTGGTTCGCGGTCGACCCCAGACATCGCGACTGCTCCTGTGCAGGCTTTGCCAAACTAGCAGTATCTCAGCCCTTGTGCTTTTTTGAATGGTATGGAAGCTAGGGATCAGAAGGCTTTTGCAGCTAAAATATGCAGCAATATTTTTGGCAGTGGTGACTATGTAGCTCCATTCCGTGTCGAAATAGTGAGTTTGGTTACACATGCCATGTCAAAAAGGCAGAGCTAAATATACAGTAAAATAAGTATCCTAGGCCATTTGCGGAGGTAGTGAAGGGTTATTAAACGGGTGATTTAAGATAGGGATACATCCCAGTAAGCGTCAAGTTGGAAAGGCTGAGAGCCGTGTTGTGACATGTTATTTCTTACTAACAACGCCAGTAAGTCTGGTACTGACCAAAAACTGCAATAACTCTATACATTCTTCAACTGATGTCGTAACTTTTTGATGGCTAAGAGAGTTTTGTATCATTTATTTAATGCAAAGATCCATGGCCTCAAGACGATTATTTAGCAATTCGTTTTACCAACTATTTCTCACAGTAAAAAGTAACAGCCTCTTGTGTTCCGTCAGAGTCTACAAACAGATTATCGAAGAAGTTTAAATGCGGTGGTTTGTTAGCTGAAAGCTAAATGAAGAAATAGACTGCTTTCGAAATTTATCCCAAAAGTGGCCAGATCGCCCTCAAAAGATAAAAGCCGGTAGCCAACTTAAGAGTGTTCATGTGGGGATTAAACCCGGGTTGTCGAAATTGTTGTCTACGGTCTTATCTCTTCTATAGCGGCAGGAGATAGCCAATGAGGTACTACTCAGTACATGGGCAAAATGCAACTAAAAAACAAAAATACTTACTCATTCAGGGTCAGACATTCCTGTGTTCTTCACTGAAACCAAACCAGCCGGTGGAACATCAGTTTAGGTTGCACTAGTGTCAACGGTACTCGTCGCAGTCATATTTCAAGCCGTCATAGAATAAATTAGTGAGCAATATGAGCAATAATGAGAAATAATGCAATACATACACGTATTGCAGAATATTCCAGCCTCTTCATGGTGTTTCAAAACGAAACACAACCAAGACGAACGGTGCAGCAAGAGGTCAG